TTTTCACTTGCATGACAGTTAGTAGGAAAAAAACAAATCCTCATTTCAACAATGACACTGAAAATACATAAAGGAAAATGCAGGCCACTTCAGTACGTGGCATCGGGTCCCTGACTTCGCCGTGGGGACAGATTTTAACCTGTGCCTGTCGCAGGTGGGTTGTCTATTATGCTTGGGGGCCACACAGGGTTAATACAGTCACCTGGAGACTGCGCATGTTTAGCAAGCAAGAGAGAATATTAGCCCATCCATTTGTCATCAACAAATATCTATTGCGTGCTTGCTCCGAGCTGCGCACTATTCTAGAGGCTTAGTTATATCAGAGAACAGAAGAGAGATATTCAGGTGAGAGATGCAGACCACAAACAATGAACATAAGTTAATTGATTAAATTAGGTGATCACTGGAAAGCTAAGTAGAGCGTAGTAAGGGGTAGAGGGGAGGGGAGAGGAAGTTATGTGTATTTGGTAGGGCTGTCAAACATGTTTCTGGGTCTGAACATTCTTTAAGTATATAATAATTATGCAAATAATAATATTAATTGCTAACATTTTCCACGTCTGACTCGGTGCTAGGCACTGTGCCAGGTGTTTACTTGGATATCTCATTTAATCTCAAGGCTGCCTGGGTTGGTCAGACCTCCAAGGCACAATGCCAGGCCGGGGTTCCTGGCGTTGGCCTCCTCCATCCTTTGTGCTCTGTCCCTGCAGCAGGACTTACTCCAGAAACACTGGCTTTCATTCCCATCTTACATTCAGTGGATGGCCCCACAAAGCCCAGTGCCCCCAGTGTGCATTCGTTCAATTCCTCAGCGATGAAGTTGGGAGTCCTTTGTAGATTCAGGTGCCAGTGGCAGGACTTTCCATCAAATAGTTGGGGATGAAAAAGTAATGGGAGGGAGGCTTGTGTTTGTTGCCCAGGTTCCACGCAGTGCCCTGGGACCCTTAGCTAAAGACACCAGGCTCCTGCCTGGCCATTGCTGTGCTGTTGGCCTCTCTGTTAACTGCAGTGAGGACACCGTTCGGGCTGCTTGCTGGTGGCCTCTCTGTTTCAGTCGCTTTCTTTTTCCCCCATTAGAGGACTTTTGGGTTGGCTGGGACCTCCTTCGTCCTCTCAGCCAGGCTTTCCCCCACCCCCACCCCCAGGTGGGCTGTGGGAAACTCATGTCGTTGCAGCCCGAAGGCCCTGAGGCATGGCAGCCAAGATAGGGCTGCCCCACACGTCCCGCTAAGGCGCCGGCTTCAACCATGACTGTGCACTCAGAGCTACAGAGGAGCCCGGGGAATTCATCCATGCACTCTGTAACTTCCACATGCCTGCTCCGTCCCTGGAGCTGGAATAAAAGAGTGGAGGAAAAGATGACAAGAGGGTGGGAAGAGATTAACCAAAGAACTTATATGCATATATGCATAACCTATGGACAGACAATAGTGTGGTGAAGGCCTGGGGA